AGGCAGACAGACAGACAGTCAGGCAGGCAGACAGACAGACAGACAGGCAGGCAGGCAGACAGACAGGCAGGCAGGCAGGCAGACAGACAGACAGACAGACAGACAGTCAGGCAGACAGGCAGACAGACAGGCAGGCAGGCATGCAGGCAGACAGACAGACAGGCAGGCAGGCAGGCAGGCAGACAGACAGACAGACAGACAGACAGACAGACAGACAGACAGACAGACAGACAGACAGACAGTCAGGCAAACAGACAGACAGGCAGGCAGACAGACAGGCAGACAGACAGACAGACAGACAGACAGACAGACAGACAGACAGACAGGCAGGCAGGCATACAGACAGGCAGGCAGGCAGGCAGGCAGGCAGGCAGGCAGGCAGACAGGCAGACAGACAGACAGTCAGGCAGGCAAACAGACAGACAGGCAGGCAGGCAGACTGACAGACAGTCAGGCAGGCAGGCAGGGAGGCAGGCAGACAGGCAGGCAGACAGAAAGACAGGCAGACAGACAGACAGGCAGACAGGCAGGCAGACAACCAGACAGACAGGCAGGCAGACAGGCAGGCAGACAGCCAGCCAGACAGGCAGGCAGACAGGCAGGCAGGCAGACAGCCAGACAGACAGGCAGGCAGACAGGCAGGCAGACAGCCAGACAGACAGGCAGGCAGACAGACAGGCAGACAGTCAGACAGGCAGACAGTCAGACAGGCAGGCAGACAGCCAGACGGACAGGCAGGCAGACAGGCAGGCAGAAAGGCAGGCAGACAGGCAGGCAGACAGGCAAACATGCAGACAGGCAGGCTGGCAGAGAGGCAGACAGGCAGGCAGGGAGGCAGGCAGGGAGGCAGGCAGGCAGGCAGGGAGGCAGGCAGGCAGGCAGGCAGACAGGCAGGCAGGCAGGGAGGCAGGCAGGGAGGCAGGGAGGCAGGCAGGCAGGCAGGGAGGCAGGAAGGGAGGCAGGGAGGCAGGCAGGGAGGCAGGCAAGGAGGCAGGGAGGCAGGGAGGCAGGCAGGCAGGCAGGGAGGCAGGCAGGGAGGCAGGCAGGGAGGCAGGCAGACAGGCAGGCAGGCAGGGAGGGAGGGAGGGAGGCAGGCAGGCAGGCAGGCAGACAGGCAGGCAGGCAGGCAGGCAGGCAGACAGGCAGGCAGGCAGGCAGGCAGGCAGGCAGGCAGGCAGGCAGGGAGGCAGACAGGCAGGCAGGCAGGCAGGCAGGCAGGCAGGCAGGCAGGCAGGCAGGCAGGCAGGCAGGCAGGCAGGCAGGCAGGCAGGCAGGCAGGCAGGGAGGCAGGCAGGCAGGCAGGGAGGCAGGCTGGCAGGCAGGCAGGCAGGCAGGCAGGCAGGCAGGCAGGCAGGCAGGCAGGCAGGCAGGCAGGGAGGCAGGCAGGCAGACAGGCAGGCAGGCAGACAAGCAGGCAGGCAGGCAGGGAGGCAGGCAGGCAGGCAGGCAGGCAGGGAGGCAGGGAGGCAGGCAGGGAGGCAGGGAGGCAGGCAGGCAGGCAGGCAGGGAGGCAGGCAGGCAGGCAGGCAGGCAGGCAGGGAGGCAGGCAGACAGGCAGGCAGGCAGGCAGGCAGGCAGGCAGGCAGGCAGGCAGACTGGCAGGCAGGCAGGCAGGGAGGCAGGCAGGCAGGCAGGGAGGCAGGGAGGCAGGGAGGCAGGCAGGGAGGCAGGGAGGCAGGCAGGCAGGCAGGCAGGCAGGGAGGCAGGCAGGCAGGCAGGCAGGCAGGGAGGCAGGCAGACAGGCAGGCAGGCAGGCAGGCAGGCAGGCAGGCAGGCAGGCAGGCAGACTGGCAGGCAGGCAGGCAGGGAGGCAGGCAGGCAGGCAGGCAGGGAGGCAGGGAGGCAGGGAGGCAGGCAGGGAGGCAGGGAGGCAGGCAGACAGGCAGGCAGGCAGGCAGGCAGGGAGGCAGGCAGACAGGCAGGCAGGCAGACAGGCAGGCAGACAGGCAGGCAGGCAGGCAGGCAGGCAGGCAGGCAGACAGGCAGGCAGGCAGGCAGGCAGACAGGCAGGCAGGCAGGCAGGCTCACCGCTGGAAGGGAAGCAACTTACGATCAACAAAAGAGGAAGAAGGGAAGGGGATAATTAAGGCAGTAATTAAGTCAGGTCGTTAGGGGGTAACAGTCTTATTGTTAATGGGTTCATAATAGTCCTTTCAGGGGGGGGGATGTGTCCATGGAGGGGGGGATGTGTCCATGGAGGGGGGGGATGTGTCCATGGAGGGGGGGGATGTGTCCATGGAGGGGGGGATGTGTCCATGGAGGGGGGGGGGATGTGTCCATGGAGGGGGGGGATGTGTCCTTGGGGGGGGGGGGGAAATGTGTCTCTGGAGGAGGAGGGGGGGGGAATGTATCCAAGGAGTTTTACACCATAAAAGGCTTTATTTAATACATTAACTATAGGTGTAGAATCAGGCCACACCTCCCAGGCCACACACCTCCCAGGCCACACCTCCCAGGCCACACACCTCCCAGGCCACACCTCCCAGGCCACACCTCCCAGGCCACACCTCCCAGGCCACACACCTCCCAGGCCACACCTCCCAGGCCACACCTCCCAGGCCACACCTCCCAGGCCACACACCTCCCAGGCCACACCTCCCAGGCCACACCTCCCAGGCCACACACCTCCCAGGTCACACCTCCCAGGCCACACCTCCCAGGCCACACACCTCCCAGGCCACACCTCCCAGGCCACACACCTCCCAGGCCACACACCTCCCAGGCCACACACCTCCCAGGCCACACCTCCCAGGCCACACACCTCCCAGGCCACACCTCCCAGGCCACACACCTCCCAGGCCACACCTCCCAGGCCACACACCTCCCAGGCCACACCTCCCAGGCCACACCTCCCAGGCCACACACCTCCCAGGCCACACACCTCCCAGGCCACACACCTCCCAAGCCACACCTCCCAACTTACTCAAAGACCTTAGTGTGATTCATGGTAAGGTGATGCATTTTGTCTTTCTAGATTATATGCTGGCAAATTCCAGGGGTCCCATATCCCCAAGGTTGGTCAGTGGGGTATGTGTCCATGGCTACATATGTGAGGGGGTATGTGTCCATGGCTACATGGATTGGGGGGAGGGGGAGGGGGAGTGTGAGCATAATATCCATGGCTTGAGTAGTGGTTCTGGAGGGACGGGGGTGTATTAAGAACTGTGTATGGGGCTCTGGGTACGAGAATCATACAAATGTATACATCAGTATCCAAACACACTTCTACATATCCAGACACCTCCTCCCTCCCCTCCAAAAAATACACACACACAAAAAAAAAATCTTTGAAAACTCATCTACCGAAAAACTCTCAAACTATCGATAGGTGAAAAAAAAAACCAGAAGAAATATTTACAAAAGTTGGGCCAAGGACCCGGACATGAGGAGAGGGAAAGTCAAGGAACTAATATGAATAGAAAAATATCCAAAGCAAATCGAAATATGAAAAATAGGAGTATGTAAAGCAGGCAAGAATGACTGGCAAGAGAAGTGTGGAGAGACACAGAAAAATGAAATGAATCATGAAATTTCAATGCTTCGTTCCGTACAGGAATGTGGAATGAAGGTTGTCTTGAGGTTATCTTGAGATGATTTCGGGGTTTTTAGTGTCCCCGCGGCCCGGTCCTCGACCAGGCCTCCACCCCCAGGAAGCAGCCCGTGACAGCTGACTAACACCCAGGTACCTATTTTACTGCTAGGTAACAAGGGCATAGGGTGAAAGAAACTCTGCCCATTGTTTCTCGCCGGTGCCTGGGATCGAACCCAGGACCACAGGATCACAAGTCCCGCGTGCTGTCCGCTCGGCCGACCGGCTCCGATATGGAGCAGGAACAATAAAGAAAAAGGAGTGTTCAATGAAATCCAGGGATTTGGAATGACACTACACATGTGGAATGAAAGCTGGAATCAAGCCTAAAAGTTCCTATAGACATGAGCTATGAAGAACATGAACTATGAAGAACATGAACTATGAAGAACATGAACTATGAAGAACATGAACTATGAAGAACATGAACTATGAAGAACATGAACTATGAAGAACATGAACTATGAAGAACATGAACTATGAAGAACATGAACTATGAAGAACATGAACTATGAAGAACATGAACTATGAAGAACATGAACTATGAAGAACATGAACAATGAAGAACATGAACAATGAAGAACATGAACAATGAAGAACATGAGCAGGAAATAATTCAATACAATGGAATGATGCAAGACACACATTATGAAATGTGTGTCTCGCATCATTCTCGTGTGTAGGTATGAAATGAGAGGAATTAAGAATCTTGGAATGAAAGCAGGAATCCGTGTAGAATGATCACATTAATAAGAAAAAAGAATACTGTGGAATGCGTTGAAGATTGTGTTGTATAAACGAATATGAAAAAAACAAAAATGTTGAGCTGAAAGGAATATTGAATGAAAGCAGGAATATGTGAATAATAACGAGACCAAAGGAAATGAAAGCAGGGATATGTGAATGAAATGGGAAAATACAGACTAAATCAAGAATATGAATATGAAAGCAAAAATATGGATATGAACGCAGGAATATGAATATGAAAGAAGGAATATGAAAGTGAAAGCAAAAATGCGGGAATGAAAGCATACAAGAATGAAAATAAAAATGAATGGCTGAATAAAGGAATGAAAACAGGAACATGGAAATCTGCTAATATGGCAAGGAAAACCGAAATATGTAAATGAAAGCAGAAAGCTAGGAATGAAACCAGAAATAAGAGAATGAAATCAGGAGTGGAAATGAGAGGGGTGAATATTGGCCTCAACGTGACACAGGTGAGTTATTTTGGGATGTGTGAGGTGACATGTACAGGTGAGGCCTGTGTGTGTGTGTGTGTGCGTGTACGCCTATACCCAAATGCCAGACGCCTTCCCAAAAACTGAAACCCACAATTCCCCCACGCACCCCCTCCCCCGCACCCTCTAACCCCCCCCCCCAAAAAAAAAAAAAACGGGAAAAAACCTACCTCACGAATCCTATTGTTGGAGAGATCTAAGGTGACCAGATTACTCCCCAGGGCCGACAGCGAGGACCTCTCAATACTGCTGAGGTTGCTCCTGATAATGTTAAGATGGCGCACGTCGAGTCCCAGGAAGATGTAGTCGAGCAGGCGCGGGAGCATGCAGTTCCGGAACTTCATCCAGTAGATGGTGTACTGCGTCTTTTTCAGGACGTCAAGGGCGTTGCGTACGTGTTTCTCGTCGGCGTGGTCGCACACGATATCAAGGCCTGTGGACGTATGGTGTTACTGTGTTGAACCATGTCAGCCACTGAGCGGTGCTGGGACGGGGGTAGAGGTGTGAGGGAGGGTAGGGGTGAGGGAGGGTGGTGTGGTGTGGTGAAGGGGGTGGTGGTGGTTAATGGGGGGTAGGGTAGTAAGAGAGGAGGGAAAATGGATATTCATGATGGGGTTAACGTGCACGCTACTGAGGGAGGAAATGGGGGGTGGTGGTAGAGGGGTTGGGGAGGGCAAAGTGCGAGGGGTAAGGGGGGGGGTCAAAGTGGGTAGGGATGAATTGACGAGTTGTGGTGATCGGGTAATAGGGAGGGGTCGATGTGACGTGGGTGAGATTGTGGAGTCAATGATAGGGAGGGTGAGGTTGGGAATTGCTGTGGTGTGGGTAAGTTAGTAGTGTAAAATAGGACAATATGGTGCAATTTTACCTTTTTACGAGTGCACTATTTTGGCCTGCTTTATTTTTCTGTCAGCCACGCCAACTGAACCCTTCTGGCCTACCGGTTTTTGAGCGAAACTCATCTGCACCGTATTACCGTGGAGATTAAATGGTTCCCTTCCGTCATCCCTAACTTTTAGATGAGTGACATCATCAGCCAGTCTTCATCCTCCTTAATCCCCTAATAAAGTTCAATTTGTCCGTTTTCAATGATCACATATTTAATCCCATTTTCTAAGATTTATTATTAAATCCCAATTTCAATGATTAGTAAATCCCATTTTCAATTATTTTTTATTAAATCCCATTTTCAATGATTGCATATTTAATCCAATTTTCAAAGATTGTTTATTTCTACAAAATAGTTAAAAGAATACACAGTGAAATTGTAGGACTATTGGATTTTACAGCATTTCCTATTTCTAAACCTAACTCTTATTATCTTTCCTATTTTTAACAACCCAAACTCATACATATATGTTACCTCTAGGAATTCAAGTAAATTACAGAAGACTGATTGTTGGTGTCCAGCCAAAGATTACATATTTGTACCTAATATTTTTAGTATATAATCAAAGTTCGCTTATTGAACATAAGAATGAATGAAACCACCTGTTGGCATCTCCTATTCATATCTGCCTTAATCAACGCATATAACAGAGTTTGACCCGAGAAGTGCATTACTCTTTTGGCATTAAAATTCCCCAAGCTAGCGAGATCATGACACAATGCTGCATTGAAATCTCCAAACTGGTCAGAACTTGGCAAAAGTGTGTGAAGAGTATGATTCACTCTGTGTGTGATTCACACTCACACACTCTGTGAGTGTGAAGAGGTAGAGTGTGTAAAACACAAACACACACCTATATATATTTTAAAAATATACAGTCCACAATATCGCGACCTGCAACACCGCTTTAGCTAGGGTCATTAGCACTTAAGTGTTAAATTTATCTTCCTCATATTCTAATAGCCCCATTAACCCCTACTCCTCAAACACCCCAACTCTACATAGGCCGACAGTGACATTAATGCATCTGTCATATTATATATATATATATATATATGTGTGTGTGTGTGTGTGTGTGTGTGTGTGTGTGTGTGTGTGTGTGTGTGTGTGTGTGTGTGTGTGTGTGTGTGTGTGTGTGCAACAATGATCACAAAAACACTGATCCAAGTATGCAGAATAACCACATGTGAAAAATAGAGAATGCTTAACGCGTTTTCGGCGAATTCGCCTTCATCAGAGCAAAGTAGAATGAAGAAGTTCATTCATTCATTTGTAGAATGTTCATTCTACTTTGCTCTGATGAACATGAAAATCCGAGATGAATTTATGTCAATGTTGTTGAGGTGTGGGTGTTAATGAGGTTATTAGAATGTTAGGATGATAAATTAATTAACACCCAAGTGCTAATGACCCTAGCTAAAGCAGTGTTACAGGTTGTGGACTGAATGTTTTTAAAATATATGTTCTCTGACCAGCTTGGAGATTTCAATGCAGCATTGTGTCATAATCTCGCTAGCTTGGGGGATTTTAATGCCAAAAGAGTAATGCACTTCTCGGTCCAAACTCTGTTACATGCTTTGATTAAGGCGGATATGAATAGGAGATGCCAACAGGTGGTTTCATTCATTCTTATGTTCAATAAACGATCATTGATTATATACTAAAAAAATATTATGTACAAATATGTAATCTTTGGCTAGGACACCAAACAATATTCAGAACAAATTAAGTAGTTTCTAAAATAATAATTGGATCAAATATGTCATCTTTAACTGCATTGTATAGATTGGGATAACAAGTGGATGAATGAGTATAACAACATGGTATATTATATAATAAAACCATAAATAAGTTCAGGCCTGTTGACCAGACCACACACTAGAAATTGAAGGGACGACGACGTTTCGGTCCGTCCTGGACCATTCTCAAGTCGATTGTAACTTGAGAATGGTCCAGGACAATCGACTTGAGAATGGTCCAGGACGGACCGAAACGTCGTCGTCCCTTCAATTTCTAGTGTGTGGTCTGGTCAACATACTTCAGCCACGTTATTGTGACTCATCGCCTGCATAAGTTCAGGCCTTCTGCATATTACCTTTAGATAGGCTACATAACTGGTGTACAAGTTGATAAATGGATATATGAAGGGGTATTAATAAACCTTCTTTAGTTTCGTAAAGGCGGCATGATTAATATTGTTACTTAAATTTGAACCAATAAGCCTTAGGGAATTTCGTTTAATTCATTAGAGATAACAGATATAAATGAGTATGGCTGGATATATACAGAAGCTGTATGGTTCCAATTAGCCTTTTCCAAATATACTTCATTCATAGAGGTGGTACATGGGTGGAAATAAATAGAATATCCGGTACAGACCTTGCTTCATTTTTATATTCAATAAGTAATCTTTAACTAGCTATTTGGCAGAAATAAGCAATCTTAGAAAATGGGATTAAATATGCAAAAATTTGAAAACGGACTGATTGAAGTTCATTGGGGATTAAGAAGGATGAAGACTGGCTGATCAACCTGTCCTATTACAAAGAACGTCGCATTTCGATTGTGTGCATTACATAAGGCCAAAAATTGTCGTACTTGAAAATGGAAGCAGCTCGCAAAAGTGACGTACTGTCCCGTTTTCTGTTTTGCGGCCTCTCTTAGGTTAGGAGAGGACATTTTAACTTGGCTCTTTTCTGGACGATGGGGTACCATAGGAGGATAGGTTGGGCAGATGACATCACACATCCAAAATTAGGGATGACGGAGGGGGAGCCGTTTAATCTCCATGGAAAAGTAATGTTCGCCAGAAGACAATTGATGCTCCCGATCACGGAAAAAAAAAGTACGACAAAACACAATAATTGAAAAAGCCCAAAAATCGCTTTCTGTCGTACTTTACACTACTTAAGGTGTTATCGACGTGAGGGAGGTAAGGTGGGAGATCAAAGTGATGGGGATGATGATGTTGTAGACGTGATGGGGGAGATGTGGGGAGTGGTAGACATGATGTAGGAGGGGTGGACATGATGTGTGGAGGGGAAGACGTGATGTGAGTGGCAAACATATGGTGGTGGTGTTGGGGTAGACGTGGTGGAGGTGATAAGGAATCTAAAACAAAAGCATGCTAGGCGCGGCCAAGAGCAAGCTGCTGGCATAGCACTCCTTGGTACCTCGGACATGCTAGGTGGTGTGAGGGGTGACACAGGTGGTATGAGAGGTGACACAGGTGGTGTGAGAGGTGACACAGGTGGTGTGAGAGGTGACACAGGTGGTGTGAGAGGTGACACAGGTGGTGTGAGAGGTGACACAGGTGGTGTGAGAGGTGACACAGGTGGTGTGAGGGGTGACACAGGTGGTGTGAGGGGTGACACAGGTGGTGTGAGAGGTGACACAGGTGGTGTGAGGGTTGACACAGGTGGTGTGAGAGGTGACACAGGTGGTGTGAGGGGTGACACAGGTGGTGTGAGGGGTGACACAGGTGGTGCGAGGGGTTACACAGGTGGTGTAAGAGGTGACACAAGTGGTGTGAGGGTTGACACAGGTGGTGTGAGGTGACACAGGTGGTGTGAGGTGACACAGGTGGTGTAAGAGGTGACACAGGTGGTGTGAGAGGTGACACAGGTGGTGAGAGGTGACACAGGTGGTGTGAGAGGTGACACAGGTGGTGTGAGAGGTGACACAGGTGGTGAGAGGTGACACAGGTGGTGTAAGAGGTGACACAGGTGGTGTGAGAGGTGACACAGGTGGTGAGAGGTGACACAGGTGGTGTGAGAGGTGACACAGGTGGTGTGAGAGGTGACACAGGTGGTGTAAGAGGTGACACAGGTGGTGTGAGAGGTGACACAGGTGGTGAGAGGTGACACAGGTGGTGTAAGAGGTGACACAGGTGGTGTGAGAGGTGACACAGGTGGTGAGAGGTGACACAGGTGGTGTGAGAGGTGACACAGGTGGTGTGAGGGGTGACACAGGTGGTGTGAGAGGTGACACAGGTGGTGTGAGAGGTGACACAGGTGTGTGAGAGGTGACACAGGTGGTGTGAGAGGTGACACAGGTGTGTGAGAGGTGACACAGGTGGTGTGAGAGGTGACACAGGTGGTGTAAGAGGTGACACAGGTGGTGTGAGAGGTGACACAGGTGGTGAGAGGTGACACAGGTGGTGTGAGAGGTGACACAGGTGGTGTGAGAGGTGACACAGGTGGTGTGAGGGGTGACACAGGTGGTGTGAGGGGTGACACAGGTGGTGTGAGGGGTGACACAGGTGGTGTGAGAGGTGACACAGGTGGTGTGAGAGGTGACACAGGTGGTGTGAGAGGTGACACAGGTGTGTGAGAGGTGACACAGGTGGTGTGAGAGGTGACACAGGTGTGTGAGAGGTGACACAGGTGTGTGAGGGGTGATACAGGTGGTGAGAGGTGACACAGGTGTGTGAGAGGTGACACAGGTGTGTGAGGGGTGACACAGGTGGTGTGAGAGGTGACACAGGTGACACAGGTGTGTGAGAGGTGACAACATAATATATTAATAAACACATCAACTATTAA